TGTTCGTTTGAGTGGGTATCGATTCCCCTTGAATGAGTATCGATCCCCCTAGCCCATAAATCCCATTTTGAGCTCGAAATTCCCTTCATTTCAGCTTAAACCTTCATATTTTACTTCATTTAATATTCCTAACTTCCATACACATATTTAAACTCATTTCTATTCCATAATCACTTCTTAAACCCAAAATTCCATCATTTACATGGCATTCAAGAATCACACTAAATTTCATTGTGTCTAATTCCAATTCTAACACTACTTCTTAATTAGATTGATGATAAGTCAAATTCCCATAAACTTCAGAGCTCGAAATTCCCTTCATTTCAGCTTAAACCTTCATATTTTACTTCATTTAATATTCCTAACTTCCATACACATATTTAAACTCATTTCTATTCCATAATCACTTCTTTAAACCCAAAATTCCATCATTTACATGGCATTCAAGAATCACACTAAATTTTCATTGTGTTCTAATTCCAATTCTAACACTTCATACTTCTTAATTAGATTGATGATAAGTCAAATTCATCCATAAAACTTCAACAACCATACCATATCAAAATTTCATCTTAAAACTCATTACAAATTCCTTCTTAATTCTTTTATCTTATTGTTTAAATCCCATATAAGCTTTCCTTAAGCTTATTTAATACCCAAAGAATCAAAATCCACTTAATAAATGGGAGAAAATATCTTATAAAGGAGCCATAATAATTTCCACTCTTTTCATATTTACCAGATAATCCTCTTAAATAACATTCTCAATTAAGTCCTTGAACTTTTAACTTATTTCAAAATCGAGCACATAATTTTTAAAATTTGCAATTTAGCCACTGACCCTGATTTGGGATGTTACAGTTATGCCTCACTAAGTCTATGACTTAGCGTGTAAGTTATTTACACGTAGGTACCAAGAATCGAGAAGAACATAAATAAGAGTGGCAATAACAACAACATTGCCAGAAGATCAGATCAGAAGTAACGAGTAAAGTATGTCTTTTGTCGTGTATAGTGTTAGCATGTAAGAAAAGTGTTAGTTACAAATGCTCTGATCAGTTTTGTCTTGTTTTAGTTAACTTGTGTAATATAACAATGCTATTTTAATGAAAGTTTTAAATTTCCTTGATTTTTCGTCTAAAGTCAAAGTTTGAAAAGTCAATGTGACATCTCAGACTCGTATCCGGGTCGGGTACGGGTGGAGGGTGTTACACTATCTGAAGCTCGCTTGCTTGCTTCTTGAATCCATCAACAATGGCTTCTAACTCAGCTATTGTTTTTCCATCTTTCTCATGTTGTTTATCCAGATCATCCACCTGGATTCTCAAGCATTGATTATGATGTTGACTATCTGCTAAGCGCTTTTGAGTAATCTTCAGTTGTTCCTACCAGGCTCTCTCATCAGGTCCCTCAAACTTCCTCTTCAGGATGTGAGCTTCGTCTTTCCAGTATTCATAGGTCTTTTTTAACTTGTATTTATCTTGGACTTATCTTGGTAAGTCTTTGAGCTCGAAACAGATCTTTTTATGTTCTTTCTCTAGCTTGTCTGCCCGATCTTTCTAAGTGTCGGCATCTAGCTTCCACTGATATCGCTCGTCCTCGAGCTCTCTTACCTTTTTCTTCAGCTCATTCTTCACAGTTTCAAACTCTGTTTTTGCTATTTCAAGTTCGGAAGGGACATGCCTGAGATGTTCCTCCATGGTCCAGGTGTCCTCACAGTCTGGAACAGGGATATTGTCGTTTTTCCCTAATCTTCGCCATTCCAAATAATCCAGAGTAAGCATATCTTTGGCAGCTATGACCTCCATCCGAAATACTTTCCTCCATGACTCTGATACTTCTTTGATCAACTTCTTATAGTTATCACCATGGTACACAAACTCTGATGTAGATAATTTGTATGTAGTTGGGACAAACTGACGTGCCCCATACTGTCGAAGTGCCAACAAGGGAGAATATCCAATTGCAACCCATAGTCCAAGTAGAGTCATAGTGTTGGAATCCCCACATCGAAAGAAAATGTCACTATAGAACAACCAAGGGGACTCTCCAAGCAATATCTCGGTCCTGAAGGTGCGTGAAGACCTTCATCCATTTTTCCTTTGAAGCACCTTCATGCCATTTCATAGTGATGAACTCTTCCAAAGGTGAATAGGTAGTGCTGAATCGGTGGTAGGAAACCTCGTTAGTCTTCCAGAAGTGGTTGTGAATCCAAACTTGGAGTAGATGAACACACCCTGTGAACTTTCCACCACCAGTCCTTCTACAATGGTTGAGAGAGCGAAATGTCTCGGCTAAGATGGTTGGTGCTGGATTTACTCGCCTCGGGAGTTGTTCGAATATCTCTACCACAGTTGCATCAATGTATCCCAAAGTCTTTGGGAATATAATTAGGCCATAGAGACCCAGTACAAACAGATCTATTTTCTTCCACTCATCGGGATGGTTCTTCATCAGTTGCCTGATTTGAAGCCAGGAGATTCCTTCCCCACTGCCTTTTTGTCGAGCCCGGTCAGTTACTCACTTTTCGTCAACTCCGGTAACCTTGGCCAGTGCATTCTTGAAAGGTTAACTTTTGATGTGTTTAATGTAGGCTCTCTCCAGTTTGATGCTTTCACAATGCAGTAGTGTAGTGTACTCTTTAATGGTGGGCACTATGTATTCTTGGTTAAAGGTGAAGCAATTGTACCCTGGGTTCCAGAACTGAATCAAGGCTCTGATTAAGGGCTCATCAGTCTTGACAGAAAGCAAGAGTGCGATATCACCATACCGCTGGCTGAACTTCTGCTTTCGATCACTCTTCTAACTGTCCCAGATATCCTGAAGCTCTTGTACTTCATTCTGCTTTAGGTTGATAGAGGCGTAGTTACCCAGCTCTGACACATAGCTCCTCTGAAGACTGTCTCCCTTTTCCTTCTGAGTCTTCTCAGACCATAGTCGTACCTCGGTGTTTTTGATCTCTTGTATTACAACACCTTTGTCCATTAATTCAGATTATTTTGTATGTAATAAACACCTTTTTAGGGATCAATAGCCTCTTGTTATGATGCAAATGCTAAAAACAAACACAAAGGCAAAAAGTTAGTAAAATATAAATGATAAAATAAAATAAATAAATGATGAAAGAAAAAAAATGAAAAGTAGAAAGAAAGTTAAATAACAAGGTTAGGGTAAAAGTATCATATGTTTTAGAATGTGGTTTTGGGGTAGGCTCTAATTCTCCATAGTCTCCCGGTTTAGGTTCTAAAAAACGGTACCTGAGTTCTCCTTGCCGGCGCCCCCTTGGGCTTGCTAGATCTTTAGTGCTAAACCCATCACAGGCTTATGTGGACTAAGTTAAACTCGAGATGACACATTCTCTTATGTCTATGCAGAGAATAAATTCATACGAAGACATAAAGTATATGAATCACGAAGGCTAATTGCTAGGCATGTGCGGTGAATAAATTCACACGAAGGCATCGCTTTTACCCCCACTTAAGAATTTAGAGCCTTAAAGGAAAAAAACGAGTTTGGAAGGCTGAAATCATTAGAAAACGATTAGTACAATTATTTACTTGAAAATATAATCAAATATAAATAATTAGAATCGAATAGATAAATTAAAACTTAAATTTTTATTTTCCCTTAAAAAGAAAACCGAAAATTAATTATGGCCTGACTCACTTATATGTGTCCCTAGTGGAGTCGACAAGCTGTCGCGACCGCCTTTCGGGTGGGCCCGAAATTGGCTTCGACTTAAAATAGAATATTGGGAGTCGCCACCGATCATTTATTTTTTTGTAAAAAATTTGGTTGATCGGATATCATCTTACCTGATCTGCGTTTTACCAGAAATATGTCGGGTTTGAGAGTCAGTTACAGTCGAGGAAGGATTAGCACCCTTGAACTTCCCTTTCGGTACCATTTAATTTGTCGGTTGTCTTAATTGCGAAAATTGAAATTGACATTAAAATTTAGAAATTCGATTCAAATTACTTACCTTTGATTAATTAAAATTATTAAAAAATCATAAATAATGTAAGAAAATAAAACAAACAAACACAAAGAGTTAGTATTAAAATTGAAATAAAAAATAGTAGCTTAAAGGTATAAAAGAAAATTCAAATTAAAAATTAAATTAGAAATAATTAAAATTTATGGATTGAATTAGTTTTAGGAACGAGATGTAAAAGAAAAAGAAACTTAAGGGATTAAATAGCAAAAGGAAAAAAGAGTAAAGTACAAAAATAGAACAAATAGAAAATTAAAGGATTAAAATAGTATTAATAAAAACTAGAAAGACAGTAACTAAATTCAAATAAAAAAACAAAACAATTTAATGACTAAATTAAAACTAAGTAAAATATAGAGTTCAAAATAAAACAAATACACATAATGATCATAATATTAAAACATGGCTAGATTAGGGGGACATAAGGGTGATTTGACCCTAAATCTAATGACTTAAATGTAACACATGGAAAGAAAAGGATCTAAATAAGATTAAACTAAAATCAGTGACTATAAAAGAAAAAGCTATGAAATAATGATGAGTTAACGTATGATTTACCCAAAATTAAAATATAATCAATTCCATTTCTTATTGATTTGAACCTTTTAAGAAAAAAAAATCTCTTTCTCATTTTTATTCTTATTATGCGCATGGAGCCCTAACATTTCCCCCTTTCGTTCAACACTCAACCCCTCTACAAACTGCTTTCCAACAAATCCACCTTCATTGCTTCTCTAAACCCAACGACGACGATACCCCAACTCCAACGATGCTCCCTCGACACAAGTAAGATTTCGATCTACCCTTTATATTTTTTATTATTTGCTGCAACTGAAATCGTTGGATATTATAAAACATGGTGATTATTTATATTCGATACACATGAGCATTTTTAGTGTTTTTTAAGGAAAAATAAAAATCATATTTTATTTATAAAAATAAAAATAAAATAAATACCAAACTTAAATAGCAAATAAATACATGAAAATAAAAATATATTCGAATGTAAAAAAAATCAAATAACCTTAAAAATATTGCTCGTACTTCCGCTGGAAAAAAAAACGAGAGACTTCCTCCCCTTACAATTGTTTCCCCCGCCTTTTTTTCCTCCCCATCTTCGTATGTAATGTTACATTTATAGAAAAATAAAATACTGTTTTTAGTCTTCTAATCGATTCCTAAAGTCTAAAGGTTGTTGCATGGTTGTTGGTGATTGGCGTAGTGAAAATCGGATGTGGAGACTTGTTGCCATAAAACGTGTGCGTGGGCTGTTGGAGTCTTGAAGCGGCGCACTAGGGTTTTCTAAAAACCCTAATCTTGGAACGGGTCCTAGGCCATTTGGGTTTTGGTTGTTAGGCCTTGTCCCTAATTTGTTGGTCTTGAACCTGTAAATAATGAATATATAAATACATAATCAATATAATATATGTGTAAAATATGTGACAGAAATTATGTGTCTACACCTCTTCTAAGTTTTTCTTGCAAATCCACCTGTTTCGGCAAAACGATTTCAATGTTCTCACCAGACATGACAAAATATCTCTCTAGTAATATTTACAGACAGCAAAACAAAGCAGGATCAGAAGAGGAAATGAGCTCAATATTGAAATCTATGATCTACGTCACAAAATTAAACAAAAGTTTACTTACAACAAACACCATTGAAGAAATACATTATCTTCTTCAATCATAGAAACCTAAAAATGTGATTACATACCACAGCAGCATAAGCATCAAAGCTTTTTTGGCGAGCAGACTTTTCGAGACCCCTGAAAGACCAGGGCAAGATGAATTATAAACAAGAAATTTCCAACATAGAGAAATACATAGTTTGGGTAAACTTCTTAGTACAAGTTAATCATTCTGCATTCAGCTTCTGATGATGTTCCATGTTCATCCACTAGATACACTCTCCAACCCCTGAATTTGAGTGAAAAATGACACATAAAAACGAAGGAAAAAATGTGGTTTTTGAGGCAAATTATGAGCCACCCAAGTGGTTTGTGAGAAAACTGAGGCAAACAAAACGAGGCAAATACACGAACAGTAAGAGTGTAAGAGGAAACATAAGACATTGCCTCTGGGCAGCTCGAACAGCTAGCCTTCCGGCAATACTGCGAACCTTGTTGGATTGAGGAGACTCTTTTCCATCCCAAGATTTAGGGAGTCCAATTATAAATTCATCAGCCTCCTACAAATTTCTCTAACATTATAGCAACATTTTCATGGCAAGCTTTCGATTAAAGGGCAAGTAATTTTTAACCTCTCTCTCAGCCACGTCAAGCAGCTGCAGCTCAAGTTTTTGACCCCTCAATTTCAAAACCTAGAAAGATACCAAAGCTCAAAACATTGAAGAGGTAGTAAAGTCGACCAAATTTAAAGATGTTTGAAAAAGGTTGAAGATTATTATCCAATTACTATTATACCGTGAGAGGACGAACGGAGAAACCTTTGCTAAGGGCAAGGCCGGTACGTGACAAACCCAAATCCACACCAAGACTGAATCCTCCTGTCAATCGCGAATTGGTCTTACGTCGAAGGGCGTTGGGGGGGTGGAATTCTTGGAGAGATGACAACAAGGCCCTGCCTTTTAGCTTGTAATTTACACGGGTAGGAGTTGAGAAATAGGGAAGAGAAGATGGAGACCTGGAGAAGATTTTGGATAGACTGAAAAATGGACGTGATTGCAGTTGCAGTGCACACATTAGAGATGGAGAGTTCACACACTGAGCTTCCAGTTGTTCCCCTTATTATATCTGGGTTTTCTTATTCTACTACTTTTCCCCTGATAAAATTCTACTGATTTTGCTTAACGATGATGAAAAATAAAACTGGGTTTCTCTCAAGTTTGGCAAAGCAGGCAGTCAATGGGAGGCCTATATGTGCGCTTATCAATAGATGTTGGGCTTTGGCCTCAAGTGACACCTTATTACTAAGCCTGGCAGTGGGTAGAATATTAGTATAATTCTACTGGCACAAGTTTTTATATGGCGTAAATAAGAATTACTGCTTATTCCTACTTGCAGAATCTGAGTTGTTGCAATATAATTGTATTTATTAACATCCATTGAAGCTGGGTGTTAGGAAATAAACCAAGTACAAGTAATTTCCCTATAATCAGATTAGTGAGAATGCGAAATAAAAGCGGAAAAATAATACCCGAAATTTGATAACGGAGTTCAGCCAATTTATGCTTACGTCTCCGGACTGCTGCAGATCTTTTACTAAGAGAAAATTTACAGGTGTTTACACAACATACTTGAGAGAGAACTAGAAGATTTTGGGATGATTTTGAAGCTAAATGAGCTAGGGTATTTATAGTTAAAACTTAGGGACTAATCTTTGAAAATACTCTAAAGTCTAGTGACCAAAAATAATTAACCCAAACCTAAATTCAACAAAATTAGGCAGCCACCCATTTATTCAAAGCAGCCCCCCACCTTTGAATATCAAGCAGCCACCGGCTGCTAGTATTCATATTTGACCAACAATCTCCCACTTGAAGACTGATTTTAATCTATCTTCACACCTCGATCGATGCAGCAGCTTTTCTAGTCTTGTTACTCTAGCATGCCAACTGAAGTTGAACACAACTTCAGTTTGTCCGTGGTCACCGTCTTTGTCAACATGTCTGCTGGATTTTGAGCTCCACTGATCTTTTCAAGTTTCAAAATCCCATCTTCCAGAAGAGACCGGATAAAATGATATCGCAATTGTATGTGCTTCGTCCTGGAATGAAAAGACGGATTCTTCGCTAGATGGATAGCACTTTGACTGTCGCAATACAAGACATTGTTTTCTTGTTTCTTGCCTAACTCTTCCAAGAAACTTTGGAGCCAAACCATCTCCTTGCTGGCTTCCGTAACAGCGACATATTCTGCTTCGGTTGTGGAGAGGCAACTATCTCTGTAATTGAGAAACCCAACTCACTGCAGTTCCTCCTAGAGTATAGACATACCCTGTAGTGCTCTTCTGATGTCCACATGTCGACAATCTACAGCATCTACATAGCCTGTTAGTATCGTATCTCCACCTTTGAAACAAAGTGCTTTGTTTGTAGTACCCCGCAGATATCTGAGGATCCATTTGACTGCTTCCCAGTGTACTTTTCCCGGATTATTCATGTACCTGCTAACAGCTCCCACTGCTTGAGCAATATCTGGTCTGGTACAAACCATGGCATACATCAGACTTCCAATTGCTGAGGCATACGAAACCTTCACCATGTGTGCACGTTCTTCCTCCGTCTTTGGTGACTGTTCTTTGGAGAGTCTGAAATGAACACCTAAAGGTGTACTTACTGGTTTAGCATCTTGCATGTTGAACCTGGAGAGTACTTTGTTGATGTACTCAGCCTGTGATAACATCAAAGTCCCCGACTTTGTGTCTCTCTTGATCCTCATCCCAAGAATCTGCTTTGCAGCGCCCAGATCTTTCATTGCAAATTGTTTCGACAATTTTGCTTCAAGTTTATGATCTCTTGCATGTTTGGGCCTGCAACGAGCATGTCATCAACGTACAACAATAAAATAATGAAGCTATTGTCGAACCTCTTGATGTAGCAACAATGATCTGCTTGGCATCTGGTAAAATCACTGCTACCCATGAAACTATCGAACTTCTTGTACCACTGTCTAGGAGCTTGTTTTAAACCATACAAGCTCTTCTTCAACCTGCATACGTGCTCTTTCTTGCCTGCCTCTATGAAGCCTTCTGGCTGTCTCATATAGATTTCTTCCTCCAAATCACCATGAAGAAAAGCTGTCTTTACATCTAACTGCTCAAGATGTAAATTCTCTGCAGCTACAATTTTCAACACCAGTCTGATTGTAGACAGTTTTACGACTGGAGAGAAAATTTCATTGTAGTCAATACCTTCTTTTTGCTGAAAGCCTTTGACAACCAATCTTGCTTTGTAACGTTTGCTCCCATCGTGCTCTTCTTTGATCCTATAAATCCACTTGTTATGGAGCGCTTTCTTGCCTTGTGGTAATTCAGCTAATTCCCATGTCTGATTTGACATAAGCGAGTCCATCTCATCTTTCATGGAAGACTCCCACTTGACTGAATCCTCCACTTGCATTGCTTCATCATAGCACTCTGGTTCACCATTGTCAGTTAGCAACAAGTAGTGCAAAGAAGGAGAATACCGTTGGGTTGGTTTAGGAATTCTGGAGGAGCGTCTCAGTTCTGGTGTGCTTGGTTCTTCTTGAACTGCTTCAGGATTGATTTGAACATCATTTCCAGGAATCTCCTCAAACTCAGCAAATTCCTTTGTTTCAGCTTTGGTATTTGAACTACTTGATTCTACAATTGACCTGTCTTTGTACATCACATTCTCATTGAAAATGACATCTCTGCTTCTGATGATCTTCCGATTTTCATAGTCCCAAAACCGGTAACCGAACTCATCACCGCCATAACCAACAAAGGCACATTTGTTGGACTTAGCATCAAGCTTACTTCTTTCAGCAGAGTCTATGTGTACATAAGAAATACAACCAAACACTCTTAAGTGTGAAAGGTTTATTTCTTTCTTGCTCCAAACTTCCTCTGGTATTCTGCCATCCAAAGGAACTGAGGGCCCACGGTTGATCAAGTAAGCTGCAGTGTTGATTGCTTCAGCCCATAGAAATTTGGGCAAGCCGGCATGTATCCTCATACTTCTGGCACGTTCATTCAGAGTTCTGTTCATGCGCTCTGCTACACCATTATGTTGCGGTGTCTTGGGAACTGTTGTCTCCATCTTGATCCCATGTTTGCGCAGAAATCTCTGAATCTACTGTCTCTGTACTCTCCTCCATTGTCAGACCTCAACCGCTTGACTTTCAAATCAGTCTCATTTTCCACCATGGCCTTCCATTTTCTGAAGATATCGAAGACTTCTGATTTCTTCTTCAGAAAATAAACCCACACCTTCCTTGTTGAATCATCGATGAAGGTGACATAATATAGTGAGCCTGCAAGAGATGGAACTGGGGATGGTCCCCATACATCAGTATGAACCAATTCTAACCTTTCTGCCTTGGGTGTCTTGCCAATCTTTGCAAAACTGACTTTCTTTTGTTTGCCAAAGATGCAATCCTCGCATAGTCCGACATCTACATTCTTTAGATCCGACAACTTCCCTTTTGACAGAAGTATCTTCATTCCTTTCTCGCTCATATGGCCAAGCCTTTGGTGCCATAGGTTTGATTTTCCATCAGCATCTGCTACTGCAATGATATTCTCTAAATTTGAGGTTACATAGAGAGTACCAGTCTTCTTACCACGAGCAATGACGAGTGCTCCTTTGGTAATCTTCCATTCACAGCCTGAAAAGGTTGTACTGTATCCTTCTCCATCAAGCTGTCCTACAGAAATCAAATTTCTTTTGAGACCAGGAATATGTCTCACTCCTGTCAGCTTCCAGGTGGTCTGGTTTGGCAGCTTTAGTCGGATGTCTCCTTTTCCGACGATCTTCAAGGTTTCATCATCAGCAAGATGAACCTTCCCAAAATCACCACTGACATAGTTCTCCATGATTTCTTGGCATGACGTGGAGTGGAAAGATGCCCCTGAATCCAAGATCCATGATTCAATCGGACTGTTGACACTTAGAATCATGGCATCACCTGTCTCCTCTGTCACGTTGGCAGATTCCTGAGCGCCGGTATTTTTCTTCGATGCTCGGCAATCTCTTTTGAAGTGACCCTTCTTGCCGCAATTATAACAGGTAAAATCTTTATTTCCTGTTCTTGATTTTCCCCTTCTGGATTTCGATCTGCCACGATTTGAATTTCTTTCTGAAGTTCTCCCTCTAGACTCCGTGTGCAAGGCTGAGGAGGTTGATGCTTCACCCGATTCTCTCCGTCGAATTTCTTCGCTCAGTACCAGATCCCGAACATCGTCAAATTTTAATTTGCTGTTTCCCGACGAACTGCTGACTGCTGTAACAGTAGCATTCCAACTGTCTGGTAAAGATGATAAGAGAATTAAAGCTCGAACTTCATCATCGAATTCAATTTCCACTGAACTCAACTGGGTTGTGATTGTGTTGAGTTCATTTAGGTGTTGTGCCATCGATGCCCCTTCCGTCATCCGCAAATTGAATAATCGCCTCATCAAGTGAACTTTGTTTGAGGCCGATGGCTTCTCATACATATTGGAGAGAGCCGCCATAAGACCCGCCGTGGTTTTTTCCTTTGCTATGTTGAAAGCAACATTGCGGGATAACGTCAGTCGGATAACTCCGAGGGCTTGTCTGTCGAGAAGAGCCCAGTCTTCATTTTTCATGCCCTCTTGTTGTTTTCCTGAAAGAGGTTGATATAGATTTTTCTGGTACAAAAAATCTTCAATCTGCATCTTCCAAAAGCCAAAGTCCGCACCATCGAACTTTTCAATTTTCACCTTCCCTTCGTCTGCAGCCATCGCTCCCACTCGAATCTGGCTTCGTTTGGATCGTTTCTGACAATTTCTGCGAACCGCCGTGTATTAGAACACCTCCGTCGACAAACTCGTATCGCCGACCGAATTTCACTATTCACGAAATTCACTATTCACGTGAATAGTAATGAATAGTAACCTCGCAGAAAATTGACAAAATTCACAACCAAAAGCTCTGATACCAGTTGTTAGGAAATAAACCAAGTACAAGTAATTTCCCTATAATCAGATTAGTGAGAATGCGAAATAAAAGCGGAAAAATAATACCCGAAATTTGATAACGGAGTTCAGCCAATTTATGCTTACGTCTCCGGACTGCTGCAGATCTTTTACTAAGAGAAAATTTACAGGTGTTTACACAACATACTTGAGAGA